TGTGTGTGTGTGTGTGTGTGTGTGTGTGTGTGTGTGTGTGTGTGTGTGTGTGTGAGATTTTTTTTTCAAGTTTCCCCTAGTAGTTAAGAACGGAATTAGTGGTAGCCCGGAGCCCTCATCACACTTTCTACTTCCTACTTGAGAGCAGAGATCATAGAACAGGATGGATCCGAAGTGAATGAGTCTGAAATTTGTTTTCCTTTGTTAATAAACACACATCTGTCTCTCTGCACTTCCTTATGGCCATTTGTTGAGCAACTTTGAACAATAACAGTCCAAAGAGTTGGAGATTTATAGGCACAATGACAGTTCTTTAGTAGACAGATTTCTAACCTCTGATTCTCTTGTGTATAGTATGACATCGCTGGACACTCTGGAGATGGCTACAACATTGGCCTGGTTCCAATTAACAAAATTCCCAAGGACAATAAGCAAAGACTAGAAATTCTAAAGGTAAATACATCATTTACTCCTATATTGTAAAAATGTCTATCAGATTTGGTAAAGACTGAAAAGATTCACGGAAGAAACAGCAGATATAGGAAAGAAAAATACTTTCTGTTTCACAAACATTCAAGCATTAAACTGAGAAGACACCCATTGTGCCTAAAATTCTTTTCTCCACCATGCAAAATTTAAACCTTGTTCCCAACATATTTTTGGGACAGTCAGTATTGTATTGGGATTCTACAACCTGGGTCCCCTCATAAGTCCTATACAGTTCTTCTCAGCCCTTACGTGTTCAGTAGAAGGAAAAGAATGACCACTTTTAGAGTATTCTCTATCTCTAATTTTATGTATCTCTTAGTATTTTCTAATGATAAATTTAATTTCACATACTTAAATCTGCAATAGAAACACACACACCATGATTTTAAAGTAAATTTCCTACATTGCTATTGAGGTGAGTACAGTGTTTAGTATGATAACTTTGTTTATTGGAAACAGTCCATTCCTTATTTTTCTCCTATATCATCTTCATCTTCCAATATGATACCAAGTTTTACATTTTCTTCCATATTCTCACTTTAAATGTAAGCTTGAATTTTAAAAGGCAGTGCCAACTATGATAGTTTTGGAATGTTTCTTTTTCTAAAAAAAAGTCTATACCAAACACAAATTAAATAGAACTCGCTCAGAGGTTTATTACACATGTGTAATAATTGGTATTGGGCTGGCCAGTTAGCTCCGTTGGTTAGAGCGCACTGTTGATGACACCAAGGTCAAAGGTTTGGATCCCCATACCAGCCAGACTCTAAAAAAAAATTATAATAATAATTGGTATTTATGCATTATTATGGTCAATGGAAAAATTATCATGTTTGTTAAAAAAGAAGTTTCTTATCTGTGGCTTTTGTGCAATGTCTCTTACCTCCAGACCATGCAAGCCCACTCTCAGTTCTGCATGAGTGGGGACTACACGTTAGAGGGGACAGAACATGCCATCAAGGAAATCGTCAAAGAAGACGCTGATGAGTACTTTGTCATAGTCTTAAGTGATGCAAATCTGTCACGATATGGAATACATCCTGCCAAGTTTGCCCAAATCTTAACAAGTAACCCTCAAGTAAATGCTTTTGCCATTTTTATTGGCTCTTTAGGTGATCAGGCAACCAGGTAAGTGTCATCTCAGGACACAGCAAAGAACAGGTATAGAGATCCTTGAGTACCTAACAGAAGCTGTTTCATGGGCATGAGCATTGTGAGGGGCAGTGAGGGAGATAAAAAAAAAACAAAATCTAGAGTTACTGCCCTCAAGGAGCTGATAGTCTAGTTGAGGGGATATATTCTAGCTTATATTTGGATGAGCATTAATAATTTTAAATTAACTTTCACTTCTATTTAAGCCAACAATAAATTTTTTTTAAAAAGAACAAATTGACTTGTCCACTAATAAATTAGACAGTATTTTATACATCTGTCACTTTATGTCAGGGTCCTAAGCTAAGTCTAATCAGTTTGTGTTCAAATCAGTTCTAAAATAGTGAATATCTACTATTTTCCTAGCATAAGAGATAATGTAAATGTTTGTATTTATGTATATATATTATATGTAGACATATAGAGACAGATACAGATATATCTCCATACATCTCCCCAATAAGAAAGGATATGTGTGTGTGTATATACGTATATATGTGTGTGTGTGTACATTTGTATACACACACACAAAATGTAATGCTCACATTACACATCCCTTCCTCTTGGGGAGACAAGGCAGGTGAAACACATGGAGACAATGTAAGACACTACGTGTAGTGATAGGTTACACTGAATATACGAATAATCAGTAGAGAAATTTATGGTCAGGCAATAATTACCATTGGGGATGATCTGAAATGAGTGATCTGGAAACACTTTCATAACTTGAACTCACTAACATTTATCTTTTTGAATTACAAACAGAGCTCATGGTTTTTCTCTGCTTAAAATACCTGTAAAAAGCAGAAAATACAAGTGAAAGTATATCTCCTCACACACACAAAAATAAAAAACAAAAAAATCTCTGCCTGAAGCACAAAGTAATACTTTTTGTTACTCCAGCTCTTTTACCTGTCATGCTCTGTGGTATAGCGTCCTCTATAGACTAGGAAATGATTTAGTACCCAAAATGCTGACATCATTTGCTCCTTCTATTCCCTTCACCTTGCTGCAGGGTTGCAGAGTTATGTTGAAAACAGACTCAATATCATGTAATAGTAGTCACTTTATTACAACTCATTTTGCACTTTTTTTAGTTTTATGTCTTAGCTCTTTATATCTTCTAGAAACTTCATGTCCTAAAATGCAAACCATGCCTTGTCTGCCCAGATTTTCCTCAGTACCAGCTCAGTATTAGGCAGATGGCAAGCTCAACAAATACCGGTTGAGCTGAAATGGCTATTTTGTCTTTCTAGTGAACAGATCTGTTTGAGTACTTAAGAAAGCACAATAATACCCTTGTGGTTTCCTAGGGAAATGGTCCAACATCCACTGGCAAAAGATATGTTGCAGAATTAGCTGGTCTACTGGGCATGCCAAATGTATGATACTACGCAGGGATGGTTGACTTTTATTAAATGTCATTCCAAAACCCAACTCTGTTGGCATAGTGAAAGGAGGACTCATTTTGAATAGAACTGTGTCTTACAGTTTTATTGCCTTTAAAATGGCCTTTTGTTCTGAATGATAAATTGGTATTTAAAAAATTATCATAAACTGTATAATCTTAGTGTCATCAAAGCAGCAATTAGATCATCTAGATTGCATTTTATATTGTGTGATGTGGAATTTTTAAAAAAAGAGAGAGGGAGAGGAAGAGAGAAAAAACCACTTGGTGTTTGGCTGGGCAATATTTTGGAGGCCTGTTTTCTAAGGAAGGAAAAGCACTTAGAAGTACAGTGTGAGGCCAACATGTTGGCTGGACTCAGGTGAGCTAATCCTAGATGGATCCCTAGGGCTTTGTTCCATCAAGGGAATACAAAATACCGGGGAATGACAGTAACAAAAGGAAGAAAATTTTTTGCTTTCAAATTCACTGATTTTCCCACTGAAAAGACCTTTTTTTTCTATTTCGTTGTTTTCACTGACTCTCTCCCTATTGCTTTTCCAAGCCTCTCGTTGCTCAGTGACAACCAATTTAATTGCAGGCAGCAGGCAAGGCATTAGAAAGTAAAAACTAGTAGGCCAGTTGCGCAATGGACAATGCGTCTGAGTATGGATCAGAAAGTAAAAACTTCCTTTCTTAAGAAACCATTTGGATGCTATGGTTTGCCAAGGCAGGAGGTGAAAGGGGAGCCCTAATTTCCAATGGTAATTTTCTTTCCCCTTCCATCCTGGCAGGCTTCAGAGAACTTTACCAGCAGGCCGGTCTTTTGTTGCCATGGATACCAAGGACATCCCTCAGATTTTACAACAGATCTTCACTTCTACCATGCTGTCAAGTGCTTAGGAAATGCCCTTCATCACCCTGATGACCCAGGATTTGAAATAAGATAGGAATAAAGAGTATTCTGAAGAAAAGAAGACATGTACAAAATGAACCTGTGCAATGCCTGGATAATTCTGGCATTCCTGGGTCTTCCTAGACTTGCTCAGGAGTCAGAATTCAGAAAAGTAGCCAGAAGGAGACTTGTGCATGGAAATCTACAACCACTGATGGGTGTAGAAGACCTGCATTTTATAAAAGGTCGGAGTTAAGGGAAGGTGGTTTGAGAACTATGGTGCTTCTGTTTCCAGAAACCTTAGGGAAAGAGAATACCTTGCTTATGCCTTAAAACATCATCTGCTNAATGAACCTGTGCAATGCCTGGATAATTCTGGCATTCCTGGGTCTTCCTAGACTTGCTCAGTAGTCAGAATTCAGAAAAGTAGCCAGAAGGAGACTTGTGCATGGAAATCTACAGCCACTGATGGGTGTAGAAGACCTGCGTTTTATAAAAGGTCGGAGTTAAGGGAAGGTGGTTTGAGAACTATGGTGCTTGATCTGTTTCCAGAAACCTTAGGGAAAGAGAATACCTTGCTTATGCCTTAAAACATCATCTGCTCACTTAAGATAAGGAAAGCGACCCCATGCGACCAAGCCTTTGATGCCACTTTCTGACACTGAGATACAAGTCTGTGAAATCCGCACCCAACATGCTCCTGTCCAGTAATTATTTTTATTTTGTCCCCATTCTGTATTGCCCAGCAAACAATGATTTTATAGTATTTAACTCACTGGAAAGTCCTTCCAACAGCAGTATTTTATAAAAGGGTGGGTTTTCTCAATGATTCCATTTTCTTGACCAAAGCCAAAAGGAATCAAAAGATCCTTGGAGTACTTCCTTTCCCATGTGACTTTTAAAAGGCTCTTAAATTATGAAGAGCAAATGTCCTATTTTCCCTGCTTCCCGAGTGGAAAGATAAAGATGTCTTGCCTCAAGTTTCCTGTTTCTTCTTATTGTAGTGTTTCTCAGAAGTTTTACACTACTTCATTTTGGCATCCAAAATGTAATGCTCAAAATAACAAATGCATATAAGAAAAATTATTTATTGAGAACATTCATATAAAAAATTGCTTAAATTAAAAGGCAGTTTGTTTGAACTGAATGGTTATTGGAGACTCCTTTAGCTGTAAAAAAGAAAAAAACCTTTTTTTCAAGCTTTATTTTTTTTTCTTTCAAAGTGTACCTTATTCCCACCCACTCTTGGGATGACGTTTATTAATGGGCTCAATGGCGCTTTGTTTAAAAACAAATGCTTCAGCAGAAGTCAGTCTTTCTCCAACCATATATGTAACAAAAAGCTCGTCACATCGACGTCAACCTGTGAAATGCTGGGACACCAATGTGTATGCGCTTTCTTATGAGTAGGAAAAACTAGTCTCGCTAATAATGTTACCTTTTTCACCCACATATATTGAAATCGTACAGGTAAATAATTTCATTTTAATTAATTATAGAACTGAAGAAAAGATAACATCCGTTCGTTCCTCTACCCCATCTCCCTATCAAAAACTGTCAAAGAAATAAAAGCATCAGATTTCCAATGTGTTGTTACCCAGTGAGTTTGCATGGCTTTCTTATTTTTCTGGCCAGATGCTTGCTTCATGTATTGAATCATCCAGTGATGCAATTTCAATCCAGTACATACCTATAAAAATGTAGTCACGTTAATAACATATAACAGCAGCAGCTAGCATTTACTGATTATTTACTGTGTGCCAGGTATATGCTGAGTGATTTCATACATTATTTCATTCAGTCCTCACAATAGGGCATGGTAAGATGGATTTGTTTTTTTTCCTTTTTGTCTTTTTTCATGTCCGGCAACGGATCGCAACCCTCAGTGTCACGCCCGTACCGGACCGGGACCGGCAACGGGATCGCAACCCTCGGTGTTGCTCCCACACCTCGCTCAGCCAGTGAGCGGGAACCGGTCTGTATGTGGGATCCGAACCCTTGGCGGGAGCGCCACCACGCTCCCAAGCGGCGCACTGTAGCAGTGCGCCACCAGGCCGGCCCTAAGATGGATATTTTTGACCTTAGTTTACAGATAAGGAAAGTGATGCTCAGAGAATTAAAGTCACTCTCCCAAGATTTTGATATTAGACTTTTGGCTAACTGTTAATTGTACTATTAACATCCTCATTTTACAAATTCAGAAACTGAGGTTTATAGAAGAAGTTTCAGAAAATTCGCCATGCTCCCAACCAGGCAGAGCAAAGTTGGACTTCCAGCCCCCAAACCGTTTAATGACTGCGTGGACCCCTGTCAACCCGCACCTCATGCTGCTGCTTACAGGTCTACATGTCGCTCTCTTACTGCCTTTTTCTCTTTTCTTCTAGTGTGGTTTCTCTTCTTGTAACCTGTCCACATTTCACCAAGCTCTCTTCCTTTCCTTTGTACTCAGAACCTATCCCTGCTCACATTGGGGCATTCAGGTGTGGGGACTAAGGGCATGGGGAACACTTCTAACTGCCCCTTCCTTCCTGGGCACAGCAGCGAACTGAGGAAGTGCCTGTCCAAGTGGCAGCTTAACCTCGAAGGCGAGCCCTTTGCTAGCAGCTCACTGCCCCTGGAAGGCCTTGGAAGTTGAATCCAAGAGTAATCAAAGGAACAGCCTTTTAACCAAACCTCCCCATGCATAACTACCCAAGTAAGCAGAAGCCATTTTTTTTGACATGGAAAGAATGTTCTCAAGTAACTTAACTTCCCTTTCCCCAACTGGTCAGACATCCTTTGAAACTGTTATTTAAAAAAAAAAAAAAGGACTCTTGGCTTTTCTTATTTGTAGAAGGGAAAGATGATGGGGGAGGGGATTGGAGCCTTAAAACATGAAGGTTTATTTTCACTGCTTGCAATACCTAAGGAGTGTGTGCGTTTATTATTAAACGTACTTAATTATAGGCTGCTCCAAGCTGTTCCCAGGCCCTTCTTAGGGCCAGGACGTTATAATAAATGCATTGTGCGCCTCAGGGGGGTTCCATTGAAAGGCATCTAACCCCGTCTCCGTAGTGAGTGCATGGAAGGCTGAGAGGGTTCATTGTTACCCGTGAGCAGCCAGGAGGAGTGAATGCTGTGAATAGCCACAGTATATGATCCATTTTCCCCCTGAATCCTCTGTGTGCCTCAACCAAATGACCTCATCACAGCTGGCGTGGCTCGAGCACAGCCACAAGAAGTGGATCAGAGCAGGAGCACTTGTGGGGAACCCATCAGATGTTTGGAATGAATCATTTAATTCTTTACACCCTTTCCTATGAACTCTCAGAGGAGGAGAAATCCATCAATGCCAGCAGGATTTTCTCTAAACAAACTGTAGGGCTTTGAAAGCCGTTTAGAAGTGGTTTTCCATAGACAGCATTGTCAGTGTCCCTGAAAGGCCAGCTCTAGAGGCTCAATCCTCCCTCCACCTGGCTCCTTCCTGTGCCTGTCACATCAGCCAAAATTGCATTCCTCAGTGGATAGGGCAGAGAGACCCAGGCTGAGGGCAGCAACAGTGGCAGTCGCTCATTTGTTGCATTTCTTTCTATTTGTTTCCAATAATCACAATTGTAAGAGAGGGTCTGCAGATTCTAAGTTGCCCTTTCCTGCCTGTACAACTTTCTGGAATCGTATCTCAGGAATAATCAAATGTTCACTTGTATTTGGTAAATTGTACGTAGCTTTTTCATCTTATTCAGAAATAAAATGTCAACTTTTAAATTTTTTCCCGACCAATAACACATATGGCTTTTAAAAATACTTAGATGAAGAGTTCAATTTCTGGTCAGGGTTATATCATTAAGTTCTTACCTTTTTCTAAGATGTGCTGTAGCAAAAGTACTACAAGTAATTTTTTTAAAATTTTTTTTCTATTTTCCAATTTTCAATTTCGGGGAGAATTTGCAAACTCTTGGTAGATTAGTCTGTAGAAAGGAAGTTTTATACACTGGTCAGTTATCAACTACCTGTGTAAACTTGGGCTAGACACTTCTGGGTCTCAATTGAACTAAATCTGTGAACTGAAAAGGTTGGAGAAAATGATCCCTAACACTAAAGTCCCATGTTTTATCATCTCATACAGGGAATTGACTTGGTCCCTCATACAGCTTACAAGAGCCACATGTCTTCAGAGTAACTTTTGTCTCCAGAACCCCACATACATATTAGCAAAAGGTAACCTACTGCCCATTGTACAGAGGATTTCGGCACCTGTATCAACTGCCCTAACAAAATAGTGGTAGTGACTGAATATGCATAAAGTTATGTAAACATTATTAGAATTAGACAAAAGGGACTTTCCCCTCATCAGCTGAACAGAATATTTGTTTGATGGTAATTCACAAGATTTCCGCCTATTGTCTCATACTTTACACTTTGCTGCTTAAAATAAAATTACATATCTGCTGATCTGCACAGTAGAAATCAAAAAGGACCAGTAATTGGAAAACTACTGAGTGTCGAGAGCTGACCTCTGTGCTGCAGCTGAACAATGCACAATTGTGTGTGTGTTAAATTGTTAAATCCTGTAAACAAAAATCTCCTCCAGAGGGGAAAAAATGCTTGCCAAGCAAACATCTCAAGTTGAGAATGATTTGACACTCTTTTTTGAGACTAAGCACTGTCTGGGTCTTTCACCTTCAAACAGAGACCGCGTCTATTCTTGCTGGGCCAAGCACATTGGTGGTGGAATGCCAGGGTTACATAATTTTTAAATCAAGTGGTGCTTGTGGTATTTGGCCACTCAGAACAAAGTATAACACTCTTTTAAAGTGGTTTGAATCCCGAGGGTGGGGAGAACGTCATGTTCTGCTATAGGGAGCTAACTGGGGGACATGTAAACGCTAAGGAGTATCAGCCACCTCTCATGGTCTTTTCCCTCCTCTCACAGGCTTCAGTGAAAGGAGTTTGGAGCTGCCAGCTCTTTCCCAGAAGGAACAATAAGAGTACAGTAAACTCCAAAGATGGTAGATGTGACCACAGAGGAGTTTCAGAATATAAGGATTTATTAAAATCAAGCGCAATTCTGAAGCATTAAGTAATGGTAGGTGGAGTTTGACCTGGAAATGGAAGGGAACAATATCTCTCTGAACATCCTGAAGCAAGTTTGCTCCTGGTGCAAGCCAGAATTTGACAGGAAAATAATGAGCCTGTCAAGAGTTATCGTATAATTGGTCTCATGACATCATGGCCATACGTGAAGCCTTACTGATTGAAATTCAAGGAAAAATAAGTATTTACTTAGGGCATTAAAGTTGGATTTGCAAGTGCAATTTATTTATGTTAGTAAACACTAATGCTAATTTAATGAAACTGACCATTTCTTCATTCTAGCACTAATCCAGTCTTCCATCATCACTACAGAAACAGAGTGAGTCTCAACAAAGCTATTTGGTCCCTTTCCTTTTATAAAAGATTTTATGTCCCATATAAAATTCAGCCCTTGTAAATAGAGCTGCAAGAGTTGGAACCAGCCCAAATGTCCATCATCAGAAGAGTGGATACAGAAAATGTGGTATATCTACACAATGGAATACTACTCTGCTATATAAAAGAATGAAATACTGTCATTCACAGAAACATGGATGGACTTAGAAAAAATTATATTACGTGAAATAAGTCAGACACAGAAAGAGAAATACCACATGTTCTCACTTATTTGTGGGAGCTAAAAATAGATAAATGAATACACAAACAACGGGGGGGGGGCAAGTAAGAAGACACAATCACAATTCCTTGACCTTGTTAAGACAAATGAACAGATATGATGTTGATGGGTGGGAGGGGGAGAGGGAGGGAGAGGGAGGAATTGCTAAAGGGACATGAAAATCAACTACATTGTATATTGATAAAGTAAAGTAAAATAAGATAATAAAATTCAGCCCAGAAAGGAGTCCTTGTGGGCCCAATGGAAACAAAATAGTAAAGCTGGGGAAGTGGCCTGATGACCAGCCTCGGCCTTGCCTCTGTGGGTGGTTCCCATACAACCAGAGGCTGATGAGGAATCCGAGGGCCTCTGCAGCAAGCCAGGATGCTCAGATTCAAGGGAGTTATGCACACAAAAAGGGCAAAACTATACATCTGATGAGGGATTGATATTCAGAATATACAAGGAACTCAAACAACTTAACACTAAAAAAACAAATAATCCAATTAAAAAGTGGGCAAAGCAGCTAAATAGACATTTCTCAAAAGAAGACATACAAATGGCCAACAAGTATATGAAAAATGTTCAATATCACCAACCATCAGAGAAATACAAATCAAAACTACATTGAGATATCTCACCCCGGTTAGACTGATTATTATCAAAAAGACAGAGATTAACAAATGCTGATGAGGATGCAGAGAAAGGAAAACCCTTCTACACTGTTGGTGGGACTGTAAATTAGTGCAGCCATTATGGAAAACAGTATGGAGGTTTCTCAAGCAACTACAGCTAGAACTACTATATGATCCAGCAGTCCCACTTCTAGGTATATACCCAAAAGAATGGAAACCATCATTGTATTAGTCCGTTTTTGTTTCTTAAAACAAAGTACACTGAACTGGGTGATTTATAAAG